CTAAAAAACCAGCTGATTATCGTCTGGTATCTTTCGATTTTGAAGCAACCCAAAATGAAAAAATAAATAACTGTAATGAAGAAAGGCGGCTTCACAAGGTAAATTTCATTGCCGCAACAGTAACATGCACAAAATGTATGGAAAATGAACAGTTATGGCGTTATCCTCTGAGACAAAATGGAAACAGCTGCGTAATATGCGGAAACAATCGATCAATAACATTTTCACAGCGTCCGTTCACTCAAACAAAAGTTGATAAACAAATCGTCACAGAAAATCCGCTTAAATTCTTTATTCAATGGATTCTATTTGAACTCAATCAGCAATATACAACAATGGCATTCTCACACAATGGAGGGCGTTATGATATGATTATGGTGTTCAAAGAAATTTATCTGAAAGGACTTGGCCCGTCAATGATTCGTCGTGGAAATAAACTTTATGAATTAAAAATTCCTCGCAACAGCAAATGTAATGAGGTTATATTCCGGGACTCGTATAACCTTTGCCCAGTCGCCTTGGGGAAACTAATTGGCGCATTTGGGCTACAAGTAACTGATAAACAATTTTTTCCGCATATGGCAAACATTACCGCTAATTATGGCATAACTTTACAACAACTACCTCCAAAATCTGATTATTTATGTGAAGGAATGAGTCCTGACAAGCAAAATGAATTTAATAAATGGTATGAATCAGAAAAGAATAATCAATTTTGTTTGGATGAAGCTTTGGCTGAATATTGCACAAACGATGTACAAATACTTACAGAAGCATTGATTGCCTTTAGAAAAAAATTTACGGAAATCAGCAAAAAGAAAAACACACAACCTGGAGCAGAAAAAGAGGGAATTGATATTTTAAGACAAGCAATGACAATCGCATCGGCATGCATGAAACATTTCCGACTCAATCATCTACAACCTGAACATTTAGCAATTGTTCCCGAAAAAGGATATGAAAACATTGATAATCAAAGTGAGCTTGCCTTAAAATATTTACAATGGTATGAAGAAACAAAAGGAGTGGAAATTCAAAGTGCACACTCGGAAGGTGGAGAACACATAGTGGCTGGAAAATATAAACTTGACGGCTATATAGCGTCAGAAGACAGGGCAATTGAGGTAAATGGATGTGTTTGGCATGCATGCCCAAAATGTTTTGGAGATGATTTGGACAAAATTTTACCCAATGGAAAAACTGTGGGAGAGACACGTGAAGATGATGAGAAAAGGATGGATATAATTAAAAAATTTATAAAAAATATTAATATAATATGGGAATGTGAAATACATCAAATGCTGCGTCGCAACAAAAAAATGAGGAAATCTTTTTCAAATTACCACAACAAAGGTCCAATTAATATTAGAGACTGTTATTTTGGTGGCAGGACTGGACCATTACAAATGCACTTTGACGCTGACAAAGAACAACATAAGATTACCTACCTTGACTTTAATTCGCTTTACCCCTCGACAATTGCTACAACATCATTTCCTGTGGGCCATCCGAAAGTGCATGTTGTACCATTGGCTGAACAAAAAGTCTATTGGACAAGAAGCGAGCATATCCCGTTCAAAGGAATTTTGAAAGTATTTTTGTTACCACCACCACAACTTGATGTTCCTGTTATCCCCGTCAAATTTGATGAACGTCTTCTTTTCCCACTATGTAGAAAATGTGCACTTGATTACCCAAATGGCGCAATCATCAAGGATTACCGCTGCCCACACAATGATGATGAAAGAGGGTGGGTCTCAACATGTACATCGATTGAGTTAGAAGAGGCATTAAAGGTTGGATATACAGTAAAAAGATTTTATAGAGCGCTTTATTATGAGAAATGGGATGAAAATTTATTTAAAAATTATGTGGCGGAATTTATGGCAATGAAAATTCATGCAAGTGGGTTCCCTGAAGGCATAGAAGGAAAGGAAAATGAGGATAAATTTATAAAAGAATGTAAGGAAAAATTTGGAATTGAACTTCAAAGAGAGAAAATGGTACCGGATCAGGCAATGCGCTACATTTCAAAATTAATGCTAAATTCGTTATGGGGAAGGTTCAGTCTAAGAAATACCCTGTCAAAAAGTTTAATCATCAACTCCCCCAATGAACTACGAGAATATGACAGCAACAAATCAATTGAAGTGCAATCTGTTGATGAGTTAACTGAAGAAACTGTTTTATTGACATATAAACCAAAGGAAGAATTTATAATTGAACATGACACCTCAAATATTGTGCTATCGCTATGGACTACGTCAGCAGCAAGAATTAGGTTATTGAAAGCAATGCAAAACGTTGCCGGAAAACTTGACTGCAATCTTCTCTATGGGGACACCGACAGCATACTATTTTCCTACCCAAAGGACATGGAGTGTCCGCTTCAAACTGGTCCCCATCTGGGTGATTTGGCAAGGGAATATGCTGGATATGAAATAAAAGAATATGTAGGAGGGGCGTGCAAGGCTTATGCACTGAGAATGGAAAGCAACAAAAATGCGAAGACAAGTAGTGTTCTGAAAGTACGTGGCATCACTTTAACCGCTGATGTCTGCAAAATTTTGCACTTTGACAGTTTTAAAGAAAGCGTACTTACCTATGCAAATGGAGGAAACAACGGGGAGGAAGATGATGACTTAGACAATGGAACAATTATGATTGAAAATCCCAATTTTATACGCCGCAATTTGAAGGATGGTATTGTTTACTCAACTAAAATGAGAAAAAAATTCAGACCAATCATACAAAAAGGGATAATTTCAAAAAATCTCAAAATTGTACATTTTGGACAAAAATAATTTTATTTTTTCACAATAATTTTTTTGTATTATAGTTTAATATTTCACAATATTTTCAATTGTACCTTAATATTTTCACAATATTTTTAAGTTGTATTTAAATTTGATAATAAAACTGTTATATTATAAAGATTTTAATAATATTTAAGTATTAAATGATAAGATTAAGACAAAGTTAAGGATTTTAAGATAAAATTTCACAAAGTTGAGTGTTAGGAGATACAATTGATGTAGAGTTAGAGAAATAACACATATTTCAAGTAAAAGTATGCAAAAATGATGCTTCACATGTGATAGTACGCGCATGCTATTTGGATAAAGTTGTGTGACACACATGAAAACACACACATATTTGGTGTAAATTTAAGAAGTATAATATAAACCTACTATAAAAGTTAAGAGTTGGAGGATAAAATTGCTGCAAAGATAAGGATTAGAAGATAAAATTCATTCAAAGTTAAGCGATAGAAGATACAATTTATGAAAAGTTAAGCAATGGAGTTGTTTGATTTCTGGTTAAAAATGTAAAGTTAAGCGTTAGAAGATACAATTCATTAAAAGTTAAGCGATAGAAGATACAATTTATGAAAAGTTAAGCAATGGAGTTGTTTGATTTCTGGTTAAAAATGTAAAGTTAAGCGTTAGAAGATACAATTCATTAAAAGTTAAGCGATAGAAGATACAATTTATGAAAAGTTAAGCGATAGAAGATACAATTTATGAAAAGTTAAGCATTAAAAGATAGAGCTGATATAAAGATAAGAGAAATATCACATATTTTGGCGTAAAACCAACAAAAATTTTGTAACACGTGATATTAGCCGTATGTTGGTGTATGTATTGAGGGTGCGTATGTGAAGTGTGCGTTTTTGTAGCGATGTGTAGTATTTATAAAGTGGACATAAACATGCACACAGAATAAAGATTAAGGGTAAGTGATAATTAAATGATGTAGCTAATGCACATGAACCATGATTTTTCTGCAATTTCTGTAACGGGAAAACTACACATGTCTTCAGTTTTGTTTTAAAAACCTTTGGGTTTCAAAAGGTATAAAAAGGAATTATATCCGAAAAACCTCAAAATTGTCCAAATGTGTCCAAATGTACAATTTTGAGGTTTTTCGGATATAATTCCTTTTTATACCTTTTGAAACCCAAAGGTTTTTAAAACAAAACTGAAGACATGTGTAGTTTTCCCGTTACAGAAATTGCAGAAAAATCATGGTTCATGTGCATTAGCTACATCATTTAATTATCACTTACCCTTAATCTTTATTCTGTGTGCATGTTTATGTCCACTTTATAAATACTACACATCGCTACAAAAACGCACACTTCACATACGCACCCTCAATACATACACCAACATACGGCTAATATCACGTGTTACAAAATTTTTGTTGGTTTTACGCCAAAATATGTGATATTTCTCTTATCTTTATATCAGCTCTATCTTTTAATGCTTAACTTTTCATAAATTGTATCTTCTATCGCTTAACTTTTCATAAATTGTATCTTCTATCGCTTAACTTTTAATGAATTGTATCTTCTAACGCTTAACTTTACATTTTTAACCAGAAATCAAACAACTCCATTGCTTAACTTTTCATAAATTGTATCTTCTATCGCTTAACTTTTAATGAATTGTATCTTCTAACGCTTAACTTTACATTTTTAACCAGAAATCAAACAACTCCATTGCTTAACTTTTCATAAATTGTATCTTCTATCGCTTAACTTTGAATGAATTTTATCTTCTAATCCTTATCTTTGCAGCAATTTTATCCTCCAACTCTTAACTTTTATAGTAGGTTTATATTATACTTCTTAAATTTACACCAAATATGTGTGTGTTTTCATGTGTGTCACACAACTTTATCCAAATAGCATGCGCGTACTATCACATGTGAAGCATCATTTTTGCATACTTTTACTTGAAATATGTGTTATTTCTCTAACTCTACATCAATTGTATCTCCTAACACTCAACTTTGTGAAATTTTATCTTAAAATCCTTAACTTTGTCTTAATCTTATCATTTAATACTTAAATATTATTAAAATCTTTATAATATAACAGTTTTATTATCAAATTTAAATACAACTTAAAAATATTGTGAAAATATTAAGGTACAATTGAAAATATTGTGAAATATTAAACTATAATACAAAAAAATTATTGTGAAAAAATAAAATTATTTTTGTCCAAAATGTACAATTTTGAGATTTTTTGAAATTATCCCTTTTTGTATGATTGGTCTGAATTTTTTTCTCATTTTAGTTGAGTAAACAATACCATCCTTCAAATTGCGGCGTATAAAATTGGGATTTTCAATCATAATTGTTCCATTGTCTAAGTCATCATCTTCCTCCCCGTTGTTTCCTCCATTTGCATAGGTAAGTACGCTTTCTTTAAAACTGTCAAAGTGCAAAATTTTGCAGACATCAGCGGTTAAAGTGATGCCACGTACTTTCAGAACACTACTTGTCTTCGCATTTTTGTTGCTTTCCATTCTCAGTGCATAAGCCTTGCACGCCCCTCCTACATATTCTTTTATTTCATATCCAGCATATTCCCTTGCCAAATCACCCAGATGGGGACCAGTTTGAAGCGGACACTCCATGTCCTTTGGGTAGGAAAATAGTATGCTGTCGGTGTCCCCATAGAGAAGATTGCAGTCAAGTTTTCCGGCAACGTTTTGCATTGCTTTCAATAACCTAATTCTTGCTGCTGACGTAGTCCATAGCGATAGCACAATATTTGAGGTGTCATGTTCAATTATAAATTCTTCCTTTGGTTTATATGTCAATAAAACAGTTTCTTCAGTTAACTCATCAACAGATTGCACTTCAATTGATTTGTTGCTGTCATATTCTCGTAGTTCATTGGGGGAGTTGATGATTAAACTTTTTGACAGGGTATTTCTTAGACTGAACCTTCCCCATAACGAATTTAGCATTAATTTTGAAATGTAGCGCATTGCCTGATCCGGTACCATTTTCTCTCTTTGAAGTTCAATTCCAAATTTTTCCTTACATTCTTTTATAAATTTATCCTCATTTTCCTTTCCTTCTATGCCTTCAGGGAACCCACTTGCATGAATTTTCATTGCCATAAATTCCGCCACATAATTTTTAAATAAATTTTCATCCCATTTCTCATAATAAAGCGCTCTATAAAATCTTTTTACTGTATATCCAACCTTTAATGCCTCTTCTAACTCAATCGATGTACATGTTGAGACCCACCCTCTTTCATCATCATTGTGTGGGCAGCGGTAATCCTTGATGATTGCGCCATTTGGGTAATCAAGTGCACATTTTCTACATAGTGGGAAAAGAAGACGTTCATCAAATTTGACGGGGATAACAGGAACATCAAGTTGTGGTGGTGGTAACAAAAATACTTTCAAAATTCCTTTGAACGGGATATGCTCGCTTCTTGTCCAATAGACTTTTTGTTCAGCCAATGGTACAACATGCACTTTCGGATGGCCCACAGGAAATGATGTTGTAGCAATTGTCGAGGGGTAAAGCGAATTAAAGTCAAGGTAGGTAATCTTATGTTGTTCTTTGTCAGCGTCAAAGTGCATTTGTAATGGTCCAGTCCTGCCACCAAAATAACAGTCTCTAATATTAATTGGACCTTTGTTGTGGTAATTTGAAAAAGATTTCCTCATTTTTTTGTTGCGACGCAGCATTTGATGTATTTCACATTCCCATATTATATTAATATTTTTTATAAATTTTTTAATTATATCCATCCTTTTCTCATCATCTTCACGTGTCTCTCCCACAGTTTTTCCATTGGGTAAAATTTTGTCCAAATCATCTCCAAAACATTTTGGGCATGCATGCCAAACACATCCATTTACCTCAATTGCCCTGTCTTCTGACGCTATATAGCCGTCAAGTTTATATTTTCCAGCCACTATGTGTTCTCCACCTTCCGAGTGTGCACTTTGAATTTCCACTCCTTTTGTTTCTTCATACCATTGTAAATATTTTAAGGCAAGCTCACTTTGATTATCAATGTTTTCATATCCTTTTTCGGGAACAATTGCTAAATGTTCAGGTTGTAGATGATTGAGTCGGAAATGTTTCATGCATGCCGATGCGATTGTCATTGCTTGTCTTAAAATATCAATTCCCTCTTTTTCTGCTCCAGGTTGTGTGTTTTTCTTTTTGCTGATTTCCGTAAATTTTTTTCTAAAGGCAATCAATGCTTCTGTAAGTATTTGTACATCGTTTGTGCAATATTCAGCCAAAGCTTCATCCAAACAAAATTGATTATTCTTTTCTGATTCATACCATTTATTAAATTCATTTTGCTTGTCAGGACTCATTCCTTCACATAAATAATCAGATTTTGGAGGTAGTTGTTGTAAAGTTATGCCATAATTAGCGGTAATGTTTGCCATATGCGGAAAAAATTATTTATCAGTTACTTGTAGCCCAAATGCGCCAATTAGTTTCCCCAAGGCGACTGGGCAAAGGTTATACGAGTCCCGGAATATAACCTCATTACATTTGCTGTTGCGAGGAATTTTTAATTCATAAAGTTTATTTCCACGACGAATCATTGACGGGCCAAGTCCTTTCAGATAAATTTCTTTGAACACCATAATCATATCATAACGCCCTCCATTGTGTGAGAATGCCATTGTTGTATATTGCTGATTGAGTTCAAATAGAATCCATTGAATAAAGAATTTAAGCGGATTTTCTGTGACGATTTGTTTATCAACTTTTGTTTGAGTGAACGGACGCTGTGAAAATGTTATTGATCGATTGTTTCCGCATATTACGCAGCTGTTTCCATTTTGTCTCAGAGGATAACGCCATAACTGTTCATTTTCCATACATTTTGTGCATGTTACTGTTGCGGCAATGAAATTTACCTTGTGAAGCCGCCTTTCTTCATTACAGTTATTTATTTTTTCATTTTGGGTTGCTTCAAAATCGAAAGATACCAGACGATAATCAGCTGGTTTTTTAGTTTCCAAAGGTCGAATGAAACACCCTCTATCCATACTGTGAAATTGTCGACAAATCTGACACCACTTCTGCCCACACACATGCTTCTTTTCAACCTCTCTTTTATAATTTTTCATTGACCATATAATACCGCATTTCTCACAAATTCTCGTTTGTCTACAGTTGCTGGTTTTTTTGTGATGTTTGAAGCATTCTTCATTCAAATATTTTTTTCCGCAGTCATCACATTTTTTGAAAAAGTTTCCAGTAGCCACACACGGGCGTTCACTTCCAATACGTCCACAAAATATACAAAGGGCTTTACATCTAAAGTCATGTTCCTTCGATTTTCTGAATTTCTTTTCACAACTAAAGCAATATTTGTGTTTCAAACCGAACATACCTCCAACGAATCTTATTCCGTCAAAATGATTATTCTTGTGATAAATTGAAATAGGTATGTTGAAATTATCGTTTCCATATTTGAATATAGGTTTCTCATTATCACTTCCAAAAATAAATACTTTAAATTTATAACCTGTATCCTTAAATTTATCATTCCAAAAATCTACAACAATTGGTACATATTCCACAGCATCATATTCAGGGAGATCTTGAGGAATTTTTGCTGCTTTTAGTAGACAAAAAACATCTTCCCTCTGACGATGATTATATTGCAGATATCTATTAAATTTAACTCGATCTCCCAATTCTTTAGTAGCATATTTTCTCGTTATTTCTAAGGCATAGAATAAACATAAATTATCGGAGTTTGAGATTTTTAATAATCGGTCAACATTTATATTAGCGATTACTGCTGAATTTTTCTGAGGTGCGCGTCCTCTAATTGGTTGATTTGTCGGAAGTGATGAAATACCTAGCGTCTGAATTTTTATTGTGAATGGATGTCCATAAAGTGATCCCTTTTCTATCTTAGATTGAGAAACTAGTTGGAATCTATTAAGTATGTTTTCTATTGTGTCTTTCTCTATCTTTCTGATAGGTATCCATATGTCGTTATCTAATATCTGTGAAGAAATTATGGCTCCTAATCGGTCAGGTTCAATTGATTCCTTCCTTGAAGCTTCTATGGTCTGATGCATACTTTCTTGAATAATTTTTTTCAATAACTCTTCAGGGTTTTCGGATATTTTTTCTATAATAAACTTTCCTGTTGTCCCCATCATCTTGTATTTTCTGTTAAACGATGTATCGTAGTCGATTCGTCGATAATAATTTTTAGGTTGATTTGCACACGCGCCGTGTTGTGTGTCATTGGATATGTGGGAAATGGGTTTCTCGATGAGGAGTCTTGGACGCTTGATTGGTGAAGGACCGTTTTGTCCGTTATTAAAAGACATTTTAAGGTTTTTTAATTGTCAATAGTTTTTTTCTTTTTTTCAATCTAAAAATTAAAAAAGTTATAAGGTCTGCTCTTTTATTTTTTTGTATGGGGTGTAAAAAGTAAAAAATATTTACAGCAAACTTGTTAATCATTCATCAATCATTTGAGGTTTTGAGTCAGTTTTGAAATAAAAAAGCTACATCTTGACCGTTCTGTAACACATCCCGAGCCTAATCTCGAAGATAATTCAGCTGCAACTCAAAATTATTCCTAAATAGTTCAATCCCAGTCTCAAATTCCCGGTACTAAATAGATCAGTCTCAAATTCCCACACCTAAATAGTTCAGTCTCAGGCTCAAATTACCATCATAAATATAACACCCAAAGGCTCAACTTCCCAGTCCTTAAATTTCGCCACCAGACTCAGACTATCAGTACTAAATAAATCAGACACAGATTAAAATCAGCAGTTATTAAAAAATTTTACAATTGACCATTCTATAATCCTTTCCCAGATCCGGTTCCCCAAATAGTTCAATCCTCGACTGAAATTCCCAATATTAATTATTTTAGTCCAGACTGAAATTCCCTGTCCTAAATAGTTCAGTTACAGACTGAAATTTCCTCTTCAGCCCCAGACTGAATTTATCAATCCTAAATAGTTTCCTAAATAGTTCAACTACAGACTTATTTGCCCATTTTAAATAGTTCGGTCCCAGACTTAAATTTTCCATTTCAACCCAGACTGAAATGACCATTTTAAATAGTTCATTCCCACAATAAAATTTTTAATTTAAAATTGGCCTTTAAATTTGCGTACTGTAATAATCGGTAGATATTTCAAGGTCGTTTGTATCGAAAATTTTTTTATAGTGTCAAGGTCTCATTATCTTCCCTTTACATTTGTACTTCCGCACATTTTTTTAAATCATTTAAATTTTTCCTTAAATTTTGCACTATTGCTCTTCATTAATTTTTATTTAAAAATTTATTTTAATTAGGTATTCGAATTTACACTATTGACTTTTCTGTAACCCTATTCTGGACCCTCTCGCTAAATAATTAGGCCCAGACTGAAATTATCGGTCCAAAATATTTCTGTCCTAGAGTAAAATTCCTAGTTGCAGTCCCAGACTGAAATTACCACTCTCTCGAAATTTTTAAGAAAAATTTTTAAATTTGAATTTCCCGCCAACTAACGTCTTGTAATTTGGCATACTGTAATAATTGGTAGATACTGTATTTTGACAAATTCCCCTTACATTTGTATTTCCGCAAATTTTTAAAAATCATTTTAATTTTTTCAAAATTTTGACTAATATTTTTTTCTTTTATAGTTTTATTCTATTAATGATTTTTTAAACTATTTTTATTTTGTTTATTAAATATTTTAGTTTTTTAAGTTTTAAAAATTTATTTTAGATTTTTATCGCGAAATTTCGTAATTTTTACAAAATTTCATTATTTTTATAAATTTAAAATTTTTTTAAAAATTCCCGAAATCGACAGTAGAAAAGAAAATTTACTCCAAAGGTGTTATTTTTTATTTTTCCCGCAAATGAACTTGGGAGGTGAAACAGCCAATATATTTATTTCCCCTTAATTTTTAAAATTCTTCTTTATATAATTTTTTACTGTAGAGGTTTCCCTTTCTACAGTAATCCTTGGTTTCCCTTTATCCTACCCACACTTTCCCATACATTTCATGTATTGTATACAACGATTTTTTGTCAGAAAATTTCATCTAAGTCCTTAGATTTCCCTTTGTAATGCCGACAGTTTCCTCAAAATTACCTATCTGGAATAGGTGGGAGAAATTTAGTAACGGGAGCCTTTATCCATCTTCCACCTTAATCACCCTCATTCACTCGCAAATTTCCTTGTACTTGTACAAGAAATTTGTCAAGGTCATTTCCTTCTCACCCCCCATCTCTCTGTTCAACTGGGACAGATGGGACAGTGGGGGTGGGGTTACTACTAAAAATGGGTGGTACGAAAATAAAAGTTTCCCTCACATTTTGGTGCCTACACACCCTTCCCTCTTTGTTGCACTACTGTAACAAAGTGGGGGGGGGGTAACTACTGTTTTTATAAATTTTTTGGCTAAAAGTTAACCAAAAATTATTTTAAAAACAATAAATTGTTTATTTCTGTATCCTTTGGAGGTATGAATAAAAATTTGAAATTCTGTTCTCTACCATTAACAATCCTTTTTTTAAATCTAAAATTTAATTTTAAAAATATTTTTTCCTTTTTATTTATTTATTTAACTAGTCAATATATTCAAAATAAACATTTGTTCATTAAAATATTCCCAAGCTTTTTTGCCATTAACTTAATCGAAAGTCACAAGAATATCAAGTTACATTTTTTTCTATTTTTCTTCGTACTGGATAAACAAAAGGCACTTATATCTACAAAAACGAGCAATGCTGAAATAAAAATTTAAAAAATATTTTTATTAATTTTTAAAAAATTAATAAAAATTTTTAGTTTTTCAAGCCAAGCCATAAATATTCTCTACAGTTTTTATACAAACAAATAAATTTATTTTTAATAGCCCCCATCATTATTTACCCTCCCAACAATCCAACTTATTTTTTTCCTCATTAAAAATCTAAACAATGCCTGCGTTGCGCTTGTTGAAATCCGACACTTTTCTGCATTTCCCTAAGCTTTGTCTAGATTTTTAGTTTTATTTTAATCAATTCCTTCCTTTCATTTTGTATTAATCCTGAAATTAAAAAAAATATATATTTTGTTAGATTTAAAGGAGAATTATAAAATTTTTGTTATTATTTGAGGAAATTAAATCTTTGTTTTACGGTAACTCATAGAAGCTTTCTTATCCAATAATTAGTAAAAAGAATAAGAAAATGACTGCCTCAACGAAGTTTGAGCCTGAAGGTTATTTTGGAGAAATAAACTAAATAATTAGAAATAAATTAAACAATTATTTAATTAATTAATCCCTTTAATTTCTCCAAAAGGAAATTTTTAAATATTAAAGCATTGGACGCATCTTCCTCCTCGTTGTCCATGCCATCGAGGAATCCATATTGGGCAACAGGTCATGAATGGGATTTGGCAATGGGAAGGTCTGATGGTAGGAATATTTTTATAAAGTAGTTAAACAGTGTTTGGAACTGGGTGAATTCTTGTAATTTTAAAAGCGGTTACTTAAAATGTAGTTAAAATGTAAACATGCTGAACTTGTTTGGAAATTCAAAAGTTCTTTTTATAAAGATGGTGGACAGCAGTCTCTGAACAACATCAATTCTCAACAACAACTACAGCAACAACAGCAGAATAGTGCTGCTTATTATGAGCAGATGATCGCAGCTGCTTCGGCTGCAAATGGGAGTGGACAAACTTCAGCTTGGTACCCAACACAAAATTATGTAGGTTATTATGGACTAGGAGGTGTTCAAAGAGTTGGAACTGCACTTAACGGATATCTGGGGTCTCCTTATTCTGGTAAATTTATTAGATTAATTTGTTAAATATTTAATAATCACCTTCACTTTTATGAAGGTGTTTATCCTCATCAAGCTGTCGATTATTATAATGCGGCTGCTGCCTCATTTCCTAGCAGTTATTATGCAGCAGCTGCATCATCAGCAAAAGCATTAGCTTCACATTATGGTCAGCAACCTCTACAACATCCACAAAATTACCCAGCCATACTTTCAATGAATAACAGTAATAAATACCCTCCAACAATATTAATGGTAAATGAAAGGAAATAAATTCAAAAATTAAAAAATTATTATTAATTAATGCAGGATCCACAAGCAATCGCTACAGGCAGTGAACTAGACACTTCCCCTCCATTAAATAATGGATCTGCTGCGGTTTCCTCACCTCCTTTGGAAACAAATTCACACAATAATGGTGCCACAAAATCAAGCAAATCGAGAAATAAAGGAGAGAAATGTGGCGGGGCTACTTTAAATATAAGTACATAATTAATAGTTTTTATTTAATTTATACAAGGACACAAAATAAGGGAATAAAATATTTTATTTAAAATACATATTAATGCTGGACTTAATGGAGCTGCAATTTTAATTAATTCTTAAGTACATTAAGAATTATTTGAAGTTTTAATAAAATATTAATTTTGTTCTATACAAGTTAACTCCTTAAGTGACCCTTATTATAATAATTACCCCTGTAGATCCTAGATTTTCTATTCTATTGTTTCCATATTGGACAAGAAAGAAATAATTTATCAAAAATATTTTTATTTTCATAGAACGTTCAAAGAAAAAGAAGATTTCCGCAATTAGAAGCCAAAGTCAAGAATTAAACCAAACACGAGTTTTTGTTTGGGAATTGGTAAAAAATAAATTGTTTATTTATTTAATTAAATTAATTATTTGAAGGAAGATGTTTGTTCTATACTTCCCCAAAATCATTATTATAAAGATCAGTTAGAAAATATGTTAAACGAGGCATTATTAAAAGTGTTAGAACACGTATTTAATTTAGAAAATTTTGATGATTTTGATCAATCAAATATTATGGATGCTGAAATGGATGAAGTAAAAAATAAAAATAATTTTATTTTTATTCATCTAATCAGGCACTTCATAATGCTAATCCTTCAAATACATTTTCTGATGAATTATCTAATAATAATAACAATAATATTCAACTTCCATCCACCAATCCTCCCTCTTCAATTCCAACTTCTTCATCTAATTTAAATAAACAAACGGGAATATCTAATACAGATGGATATAGAAAATTAGCAGAAAAATGTAGAAATGTAAAGAATGTTTTTGAGAGATATAGAAGGTTATCTTCCTTTGCTGGTGAGATTTTTGAAGATTAATTTTTTGGTTAAACTACATAAACAAAAATTGGGAGTTTTGTGTTTTAGACCTATCCCAACTTGGTATTTCCTGATAATTTTAATTTTTTATTTAATTACAGAATTGTTAGAGCATTGTGGACTTCCTTCTTCTCAATTAATTAGTCATTTGGATAATATTGAAGTAATTAATATATTTAATTATTTTGATAATTAATTTTTAGAAATTTCCGGAGGCTAGTATAGCATTGTTTAGGGAATGTTTATCTTTTATTCATAAACGGTTAGTTTTTAATAAAGAATTAAATGGTTTTAGAGGTGTTTAGGGGATTAATTTTGAATTAAATTGAAATTATGAATTAATTAAAATTTTAATTATTTGTAAATAAATAAGGGGAAAAATTAAATTAAATATATAAAAAATTCCTTTTAAAATGAATTCCTCTTTTAAAAGATCTCCATTACTTAAACAACCTTATGTTAACGTAATTCTCTCATCTAATCAAATAGAGGGTGGGATAGCTGGCGCTTTTGGCCGTTTAATGTTGTGTAGATTGGGGGAATATATTGAGGCTGAAAATGGTTTTTTCTGATTTTGTTTTTAAATAAAAAATATTTTTTAAAGTTTTTTGTATTACTCGAAATGGAAGGGAAACTGTTTTTGAAAGATTGATAAATCAATTTCAGAAAAAATTAATTGTTTTTATTTCTAATAATGAAGTAACTAAAAAATTTGCAGAAACGGTAAATTTACATAAAAGGTTTAATTAAGGGAATTGAAAAAAATATTCAAAAACGAGGTAGTCTAAAGTAAAGGTCGGCAAAATCGTACTTCCGAGATTCCGAGTCGGGGTTTTTTTCTTAACCGATGCCGGGACGGGATCCCGAGGGATAAATCCCAAAAAAATCCCGAAGGATCCCCAAAATCAAAAGCATCCGGGATTTCGGGATCCCGGCAAATCCCGTCGGGATCACTTTCCTGCGCCGACCTCTAGTCTAAAGTCTCTCAACGCTATTTAATTATTTTTGTACATATAATAATTTATTTTTTCCATTCATTTATTTAATTAAAATATTAAATGATATTTAGAATGACATTCTTTGCTGGCCCGGAAAATTACATTCAAATAATTCTTTAATTAATTTACGATCAGCTCTAGAATACATTTTATGCGATATATCTCAACCTACAAATGGATTTAAGGAACAACAACAACAAAATTCTTTTTTATAATTTTTTCTTAAAAATAAATTTTTGTAAATAATTTCGATAAAAGATAAATTTATTTTTTAAATATTTTCGTGTCTAAAAAATATTCTTCTTCCTTGCTTTTTTTTTAATTTTAAAATAATTTTTCCTTGTTTAAATAATTAATATAAATATAAATTTCTTCAATATAATTAAATACAAATTCTTCAACTTTATTTTTAACTAATAATTTTATTTTTAAATTAAAATCATTTTCTTCTTCAAATCTTCTTTTTTTCGTTCTTCCCTCAAATTTTAATTCCATATTATAACATTTATCAGGAATTTCATTACAATTTTCATTAAATATTTTAATTAAATTATTTATTAAAATATAATCTGCCCATTTTGTATCAAAATAATTATAACAATTAATTAATTTAGATAAATTTAAAAATAATTGGAAATAAAGAAATGTTGAAATTTTGTTTAATATAATTGTTGGATTCTTTACATATACACTATTTATTACTAAAAAAATAATATAAAAATATTAATTAATTTTATTTTATTTGACGGCAACATTCTCTAACCCTTTCTCACTAATATTTTTAATTTTTCGGTTAAATTTCAGAGATTTGAAAAATTTTCTTATAACTGACAATATTATGCTATCTGTTTTGTATTGTAAAGCATATGGCTATTTAATTCCTAAGGTTGTGCAGTGGGCGGCTTGGTTTAAAGGATAACACATCAGTCCGGTCTACGGAAGATGTTGGTTCGCTCCGAGCCGCCGATTAACCTTCTGCACTAGCTAAAGGAGAGAAATACCTATAGCCCAGTTGCTTTACTGTATCATTATTATTAGGATGATGATATGTATTTTGATAAAATTTTCTAGCCCAAAATCATCTGACTGTTTATGGATTTTTCCAGCCAGCATTGGTTACCCCTATTTAATAACTTTTTATTTTATTTCCACAAATAATTTGGGACATATTTTTTAAATTAATTTAATTAAGTTTACATCTAAATCTTTCTTTCAATTCCTGACATAAATCCTCAATAATTATTTTATATTTATTTAAAAACATTTCAAAAGTCTGTTTTTCTCGTTTTTCTTCTACTTCTCCTCCAGGTATTTTCTTAATTAATTCTTTATAAATTTTATTCTCCTCTATAGTCTTTAAATAATTTAAAATATTTTTATTTTTAATTTTTTCATTAATTTCCCCAGCCATTTTTAAAATTTTAAAATAAAGTTTCTTTCCTTCTAAAGGATTAAAATTTATTTTTCTTTCAATTTTCCATTTTCCTCCACATTTTTCTTTCATTTTTTCACCCAATATTTTTTTAATTTCTTCAAAATCTTTATTTGTATAATTACTACTAAAAATTTTAAAATTAAATTTCAAAGAAAAAAAACCTTCCATTTAAATTAATTTTTCGTCTATGAAGTATTTGTTTCAAAGTATCTCGATGGATTTTAATATATTCTGATAAGCTTCTTATTTGTATACCTCCATATAGAAAAAGAACACACAAACCTTGAATTAATGGCTCCTAAATTTTTAAAATTAATTTTTCCTTTCCTCTTTTTTATTTTTTTAATATTTAATTCTATTTACACAGCAATTTAAAATAGGCAGAGGGTGCAACCAGGGAGTCAGAGAGGTTTCAGTACTACTTTAATTTATTTGTTTATTTTTATCGGGCCCCATTAACCTATTTATTATCAAAATTAAATATAATAAGTTTCAAATTAAATATAATAAGTTTAATTTAAAAATCCCCAACCTCATTTTCAATTTTATTAATTAATTCTAAACGATTAAGTTTTTTATTTTTAGATTTTTTAATTTTTTTATAATCATTTATAGCTTGTTTAAAATCATTATTGTTATTTTCATAATATTTAAATATCTTTTCTTGTAAATTTGGACACATATGTTTCCATTCTTTTTTCTCATCAGGGAATAAATAATTTTGAATTTTATTAATTTCAATCACTTTATTTTTACTTCTAATTAATTTAAATAATTAAAATATTCGAAACTTTTAAAATATTTTTTTAAATTCTCTTTAAAATATTCTCTAAATTTTATTATATTCATGTTACGGATAGAATGGGGAGGTGGAAATAAAATTATCATTCATATCACACCCCCATCTTCTCATTAATCCAAACCAGATGACTGAATCTACATATTCTCTAACCCTAATTTCCTAAACCATAATTTTTTCCTCAACCTCAAATTTAAATTTTTTTTCTGTTAAAAAATATTTTTTCAATAATTAATTATTTACGTTCCACTTCTTTTATTTTTTGAATTTTTTTGTTCAATTTCTTCGAATTTTCTTTTATTACAATTAACACTTGTTGAACATTCTTCGACATTCTTTTCATTACACAAAATATTATCCGAAACTGGTGCTTAATTTAAATTTAAATTATTATAAATATTTAATTAGAGTGCAAAGTAATTGATCCAAAAAAAATTAAAAATTTATTTCAAATTTTAAAAGTGCCCTTATTACCTCCAATTTATTTCCTCAATCTTTTTGTTTATTAATAGTTTTAATTTGCCTTTAATGAAAATTTCTTCAAAATTACCTAGCATTTTATCGTGGAGATGCAAAAGATTTTCATGGACAGTGAAAGATTTTTACGGGGAGACGGAAAAATTAGAATATCAAAAAAATTTTAGCATCAAAGGCGAAATTTTCGAGATTTTCAAGTATCAGAAATTCAATTTAATTTGCTAGAAATTCAATTTTTTAGCGCTGCAAATATTAAATTCCAGTAATTTAAACATGTCTATACATATTTAAAAATTTGGGTCACTCAGGTCCAAATTATCTAAATGTCCTTCTCAAAATTTTTACAAAAGGATAAAAATTTTTGCACTCTCATTAAATATTTACATTCATCTGTTTCTTCCGAATATTCCGACCCAATTATTGTAGGAAAAGATATATTTACAATTAACAATAATAAAATAAATATTATTGGCAACATTTAAATATCCTACTTTAATTATAAAAAATATTTTTTTAATTAAAAAATATTAAAATTCTTTAATTAAAATTCTCAAAATAAACAAGACATTAAAACACACTTTATTAACATTAAAGGAAATCAATGTACTTGACTGTGTCATAAGAATAGTATTGCACTTTAAAATCGCTATTTATGTCTTTTAAAATTTTTTAGTAAAGTTAATTTGCAATAATTTGATTGAGAAATTTTAAGCAAAATGAAATTTTAAAGGTTTTATTTTTGAGAAATAAGAAAAACAATAAAGGAAAATGTAGGTATACCCATTTCAACAATTAAAAAAAATACATACATAAAAACTAGAATATTTGGTAAACGTTAAGAAAAATAGATGAGCATTCAAATTAAAGTTTTTATGCCATCTCGTAGAGGATGTTAGTATTTCCAAAAATGATTTTTATTAAATTTTTATAAATTTTACTGAAACAAACAAATAACAAAATAAAAATTAAAACAAAAAATAAATAAAATTAATAATGAGAAGTAATTCTAATTAACTCAGTGAGATCATCAATTATTTGATATTTACTTGTTCCCAACTTTTTAGCTAAATCTGTTTTTTCTTGAGAGCTTAAATGCATATATTGCATTACTAGCAAACCATCGATAATATTTTTTGCTGCACTTATTTGTTGATTAGTTCCAGTCTTTTGTGGACGTCCAGCACGTGAACCACGAGGATTTAACTATAAAATATTATTTGAAATAATCTTCAAAATTACAGAATATTTAAAATTATACCCCTGCTGGTTGAGGTACATACATATTCATCATCTTTAAAATTTATTTTTAATGATTACTTTTAAAAAAAGTTTTTAATTACCTGTTGTAACATGTGTAGTCTTCTAAAAACTTTTTCGATGATAGGCTTAATAAAACCAAAAGAGCCGTCTAATGTAGCAAAATAGCAAGTTTGTATTCCACGTTGTTGTTCTGAATCAATGAAACATTCAGAAGTATGCCCTAAAAATTTTTTAAATTGCTTTAATTACATTAAAAGACACAAAAAAATCAACTTACCTTTAACTCGCACAAAAGTATTAATTAATGATCCAATATTTAATATTGCTCTAATAATTAACCGTTCACCACCAATTGATTCTTTCATTTCAGGTAAATAATTAAATAAAGTTATGTTAGCTAATTCATCTGTAAGAATAAATCCAAGTTGTTTATGATCTATGATAAATTGAGAAGTCATTGGAGTTGGGGCTGTTGGGCGTAAATCTCGTGAAACTAATGAAAGTGCTTTAAATTCTTCCTTAAAAAATAATTTAATCATTTTATGATCTCTAAAAATACCTGGTATCGAATTAATGAAAGAGAACGATATAAATCACAAGCTAATGCAAAATCACGAAAAGCAACCATATGATGAACGTAGAAATGTAAATCAAGAAAGGAAACACCATGTAATTGATTATCACGAAATTGCCAAATAAAAATCTAAAATTAACTTTGAAATATGCAAAATAGAAAGAGAAAGTTCAGGACCTTTTGACCCATTCCAGTAAGTAAAAATCCATTAATTGCACATAAACTAGTTACGGGCCCTTTTTGTTCCTTGTCATAAATTGTTTTAAGTTTGTGACGTGTTGTAGGCATTCCTTCCTCCGGCACTACTTCAATTAACTCAAAAAGGACTACTCGACCACGAACATACACCTCCTCTCCATAATTGATAGCTGTTCCCAATGCCAGATAATTTTTTACACCAGAAACTGTGCTTTCCGAGGTTAGCAATACTTCTTCACAGGCAGTTGCAACTTCAAACTCCTCCAATTGAAATTCAAAGTTTGGCACAAATTTCCAATCTTCCGTTGAAAAGAGCTAAATATTAATTAATTTTAGAAGATATTCTCGAGAATAAAAATATTACCAACCCTAAGTTTGTATGAATCAATGCTTGGCAAAATAAAATTTTCGTCACGATCATGTGTCTCAACTTGCTTTTCCTCGTTCACAATTGTACAAACAGTTTTGTTTGGCTTTTTTTCACTCGTTACTAACATGATGAGGTCTCCTTGAAGCATAAAAACTACATGGCTAATAGTTTGACCAATTGGAATTTTACGATGTGGATATGAGCAATCATAGTCAATATCTGACTTAAATAAAGTTTAATTAAAATAAATATATGAGTCTAATTTTAGAGATTTACAACTAGTATAACACAACCAGAAAAACCTATTGGAAATGAAATTATTTAAAAATAAAATTAACGTTCAAAGTTGCAACACGCATCATATGTTCTGGTTTCTTTGTTAGATATAAGAAGCCATTTTTGCAATTAGCATTATTGAATGATGAAAAAGCTGTTATTTGTCCATCGATGGTCATTGGATGGAGTTGAACTCCATTACGATTTATTAGTAGAATTGAAGGATATGCACCAGCAATGAAAATTCCATTAGACTAAAATAAATTTCTGTATTTTAAAATAAATTAAATAAACAAACCAAATTACTCAGCGGACCAAAAGGAAAAATTCGCTGTCTATGTCTGTCCTCAACTTCATGTGCCTCAACTTGCGCTCTGCCATTAGGGCCAAGAAAACGTTTTTCTCGTATAACTACAGTGCAGGGGAGACGTTTGAACCTGATGGCAAGATGACCTTAAAGAACAAATGAAATTCCTGCATCAACTCAAGAATATAAACTCCGTTCGGGAAATAATGTAAAGTTAAACGTAAAAATTTTTCCTTAAAATTATTATAATTACCATTAATATTATCATCATGAGGAAACAATTCATAGAAGACAACCATATCATCGAACAGAGCGGACAGAACTGGCCGGCCACAATTAATTCCAAGCCCACAAATTTGCAGTTCAAATATTTTCTTAAAAGCATTATTTAAAAGAAAACTCATTTTAAAACCTCTTCAGGTTTAACAATTGTATCAGAGGAAAGGCTTTCAGCAGGTTGTGGCACAATGACTGGTGTGTTCATAAATGATTGTTGAGAAGGCCTATGCTCATCGTCAATTGCAGATTGTACATCATCGTAGAGAACATCATGAGATTGACAAAACTTTCTGACCTTAAAAAATAAATAAAAAAATTAAGAAAAAGTTTTATCTTTACCATATAAACTAATTGTAAATTAGGTAAATTGTAAATGTAAAGATTGCCATTTTCACGAGTAAAAAACAACCAAAAAGTTGGTAAAATTTTAGATGGGCGTTCAACAAATTCATCAGTATTGGCATTAATTGATATTTCGTTTGAAATTGTAAGCCAGCTAATTTTTTGTTGCTGCTTTTGAGTTTCTACTTTTTGTTTTTGCGGTTCATTTTGAGGTTGAGCTAACGAAAAGAAGTTTTAATAATTAATTTTAATTGGTTTAAAAATTTACTTTTATTCCGTTCCTTTTCTGTAACTCCATAAAGAAATGCATCAATATCATCTTCTTCGTTAAGTTGTTCTTTTGTTGCCAAATCTTCATCCATCTCATTTTTGATTAAAGAAGAATCTAAGGAATTAGATTTTGGAAATAAAAGTTTTTCATTTGCAGACGACGATTCTTCCTGTTCAATAATCTTTTTATTGTCTGAATATTGAATTAAACCACTGCAATCCTTGTAAAGTGAAATTGCTGTGATAGGCGATTTTTCGTGCTTAAGCACATTTAGAATTGGTATCTGAAAAATTAAAATTTAAAATACAAAAAGAATCTATAATAAAAAAACCTGTTTAAGATGGATATTTGGCTTTGAAAATAATTGATAAAGGAAAAAACGTCCATTTAGTGTAAGAAGAGCCAAATAGGGATCAATAAGCGAAGCAGAAATTACTGGAAAACTTGAGTCAATTGAAATGCAGTCGATTTGTTGATCATTTGCGACGAGAATAATGCTAATAATATGTTTGGAATAAATTGAGCAAAAAATTACCTTGTAGGTGTTATCTAAAAAATAATAAATTATGCTCATAATTATGTCAATAAGTTCGATTCAAGACTCTAGGAGGTGGAAACCGGTTGAAAGATTTGGCGAACAAAACCAGTCAAATTTAAATAAATGTTTTAATAAAGCTACAGACCTGTACAGCAACATTCCCTTCTGCCAAATCCCCAGCCATCAATGTTGACTCATTAGTGCAAAAGAGAGGGGTATCCAATTCGATCATATCATTGTGTAATTCTAAGGCAACAGTACTTCGTTCACGAGAAATTAGCAAATATTTGTGCATATCGTCGTAATGACGCCCTATAGTCCAAATTTGTTGAGCTTCATCCAAACTGCAAACAATAACATTAAAAAAAGTTAAATCTAGTAAAATGTTGGTGAAGATGCAGAACATTGGTCACAAAAATGTGAGCGGAAAAATCATATTTTTTGAACAATTGTTTTAGGGAACAATGTTCTAGACCCTTAAACTAACAGTTAAAATAATATAAATATATAAGGAGTTTTAAAAAATAATTACGCCGAACAATGTGCTTGTTATAATTTGTGGTCGGACAGAGCGATGATAGAGGCAAAGCGAAGAATCCTTCCCATGACCAGAAGCTGTCATCTATATAAAAAATAAAGTAATATGAATAAAAAACTTTAACAGAATAATTTTAGATACCAAATCTTGGAAAGCTTATAACTAATAGAAAAGTGTAAAAATAAGAATAACCATGTCGAAGTAAACATCTCTGGCATTTTTCCGAAAAGCATCGCTTATGTAAGTAGCATTGCAAACTCTCAACCATTTACAGGGTCCAATGTTTGGAAGAATATCAAGCAACTCAAATTTATATGTCCGTACAATTTGTCTGAGGGTCTAAAATTTTTTAAAAATATCCTTAAAAATTAAAAAAACCTCTTCAATTAAAAAACTTTTACAAAAATCATCGCCATAAAGAAAAATATCATCATCATTGAATAAAATTCGCGAATGATTTACCAAATCCTGATTATTTGAATAATCCTTTGAGCCTCGTATTTTGTCTAGTGAATAACGTAGTAATTGTGAATCTCCAAGTCTGGAACCAACAAAAAGAAAATTTGTTGAGAAACTTGTAAGAACACAAGGAATTGATGTTTCTAAAATTAAATGGGGGTATTTTAAATGGACATTTTAATTTAAAGTAAATATGAAAAGTTTTAGATTACAAATTGATATTCTAATTTAAAATTATCAAGCCCCAGTAAAAATCAAAGATAAAACAAGATATAAACTACTATAGTATTTTTAAACAAAATTACCAAAAGTTTTTGTCAAATGCATATTTTTAACAACATTTGCTTGGTCAGTTTCAAGAGATAAAATATATAAATCTCCATTAGACAAAACAACAAAAACATCATTTGGAGAATCTGACACTCTTTCTACAGCACAGCCTTCCAAAACTAACTTTAAATTTTGTTGTTGATTACTTAATGGAAATCTAATAAATTCTTCTGAACAAGAATTTAAAGAAATTCCCCTTGGTGGTACAGATTGATTTAAATAAACAATTTCGTTGGCTCCAAATAAACAAATTCCACCAATTGGAGGGTTAATAGGTAAGCAACGATTTATGTTCATTGGAAGGCCTAAAATTAAAAATAAAATAATTAAATTAAAAAAAACCAGAAAAATTCCAAACAACTGTATGTATTTTGTCTTTTAAATTCAGAAAAACAGCCAAAATAGAGACAGTGTCGAATCGAACTGCTGCTCTAAAAAATAGGAAATAAATTTTTTTCCAAAATTTAACCTTCCAGCTGTTGTTTGGATTGGCTCGTAAAGGAAAAGAATTGTTGGCTCAAAATATCCATGCAAAAAGCACATATCATGAATATTTTCTAGACGTTCGTCGAGTGACCTTAAAAGGAAAATTAGAGAGAAAGCGAAAAATAGTTTTGGTGACAAATTTTTCAGGGTCCGTAAATAAAGTTAAAAAATTCTCACAAATCAAAACACCGATCTCGATGGAGTATTAATTATAAAATAAAAAACCTCAATTTGATTGCGTAACTTTGCAATAAAATCTGACGTCCATCTTTACTTGAAAGACATTCATTTTCTTTATTAACCCTATTGATTCGTTTAATTGGGACAACAGCTAAATGCCTTCCATAAACAGTAAAAACGCAACAACGACTCTCTGGATCAGCGCAAAGGACAGGATGGTGAATATCTTTGGCATAACCTTCACGTAATAATTCATCTTCTATTGAATGTAAAGAAAGTGTGTTAAGTGTCATTGTGGAAGGATTAATGTTGACAATTGAAAGCTTGGCATCATCAAATGTTAAAGCTAATGCGTCAAAGTCAGGAAAATCTAGGAGAATATAATATAGGAATTAAATTAACTAGGGAAAATTGCTTGGCCAGCTCAAAAAACGGGCAAAAACGGCTCAAAATCCTTGCTAGAAAGGGCACATTCTCTACCGAATGAGCCCGGTTTCGACCGTTTTTAGGTCGGACACCTCGCAACCTTCCCTAGTAAGATGTTTTAATTTTAATTGTAAGAATAAAAGGGAATGTTGGGTATTGGCTTAGTATAAAAGCCTTCCTATTATTCAGTCGTTCTGAGTCTATTGTCGCAGTGTTTATTCTGTTATTCTATTCTGTCTCCAACATATTCGGCGCTTAGCCATATTCCTTATTGTTCGCCCTTATTGTATTTTGTATTGTAGATAAAGCACAGTTGTTAGATACTGTCTTATCTTGTTATTCTTTGTTAGTACGTAGACACACAAGTCACGTACATAACAGGGAATTTCTGTCGGTAATTATTTTAATATTTTAAAACCGAATTAATAAATAAAAAAATATGTTGTATTTAAATTAGGCTTTAATTTAAATTAGCAAGGTATTTTTAAGAGAAAATATTTCACGGGACAAAAAATTTTAAATTTTGTTTTGATTAAAATTTAAAAAATCCAAACCTTCTAGCCTTATTACAGCCATTCCACGGATTGGTGCCATCATTGTAAACAAAAGTAAACATTCTAATTGAGGAGAATTAATTGAATTACCACAATTATTTAATCGAAAAAAACGTAAAGTTTTCGCGCCAGCAGTTACTAACAAATCTGCATTTGGTAAAAATTTCCCCCAAAAACAAAAATTAACTGAAGTAGCATCATCAGTTTCATGCAAAATAGAGTACATCTAAAAATTGAAATAACGTGAAAATTTTTAAAAATTTTGAAAATTTCAACAAAAAATTTCCCTATTAAAAATCTCGCAACAAAACGGCCTCTTTTATTTAAGCGCGCGTAAAATTAGCGTTTGAATTTACAAAACGGAAGAAGCAAAAGGAACAATTTTCTGGATTTTTGGTTGATGTTTTTCTTGAAAAACTTTTAAATTTTTAATTTTTCAGACAAAATTTTTCTAAAAAATGGATTTACCATTAGATGAATTATTTAAAAGAGTTCAGAATTCAATACAACAAAATAACAACAAGACTACCGATGTTGATTTAATTACAAAAGAAACTGGATTGCCTAAACAATTTGTTAATTATGTTGTCGAATCTGTTATTCTTCATTATAATGATATTGAACTCTTAAAACATATGGTTATTTTAGACATTAAATATTTTTTTTCTAAATTTTCAGGTTATTTTTGTTGCTGAAAAATGTAAAAAGGAAGGGATCGATATAAATTCAACAATTACTGCAACATTTTTAAAGAAAATTGAGCCAATATGCAGAACACTTAAAGAAGATTCTGCTTTCTTTCCTGATTATAAAGACGACAATAGAGATACTTCTTTAGATTTTCCATTGCTAACTCGTTTTGCAATTGTGGCAACTTATTGTGCTAGTTATAATCCGGCAGTGACTGATCAACGTTTCTTTTTTAAGGTTGGGCTTTAATTGAAATCTAGAAAAAATCCTAATTTTTGAGATTAAAAAACAATCAAGATGACATTTGATCCCAACTTTTTTTAATTTTTAGACTGATATTTCATCCAAACGTCGCAAAGGTTCAGGGAAGAATTCAAAAGAAAAGTTTCATGAGAAGGGTCCACGTGCATTCGAACATCAACGAGCTCTCTTTATTTTTCTCTTTTTTTGTAAAAATTTTGACGAAGCTTTTGAGGATTTTGGCGCTGATTTTCGGATCGATTTTACTTCACAGGTAACTTATCTATTTTTTTCGTAATTTATTTCTAAATTTTTAATTTAAATTTTGACAAAATAAATTATTCTCTTGAATCGATTTTTTTTCGAATTATCGTTTCCCAAAATTCTAAAAAATATTTAAAATTTATCTCAATGGGAAAACAATAATTAAAATATACTTTCTTTTCAGATAACTCATTTGGTCGATGTTGGTTTACTCAGAATTGTCAGTGCAGCAGAAAATTTGGATTTGCCTCAATATCTTTCATTATGTGGATTGGATTTTGCAAAAAGGATAGCTCGGTCAATTTCTGATGAATTTAAACTAGAAAATTATTTGTGGGATTTTGTTGGTGATTTTTAAAAGTAAATTAAAAGTTTTGTTCAGTTTTTATTAAAATTTTTACTTTCCTTTGATCTTTATTTTTTATTAAAAATACAATGTTTCTATTATGGCCCCACCTCATAAACATTTGGTAAATGATAAGCAATGTTAATAACGTGAGAAAATTAAGGACAATCGAATGTTTATTAGTAAAATATAATTAAGTAGTTAGTCTTTATTTTAATTTAAATTTTATTTTCTCCTTTCCATCTGTTTGGTTTTTATAAGCATTTTCAAGTTAACAATAAGATTTTAGAATAAAAAAATTTTAAAAATTGATTCAAAATAGTATCTATAGTTGTTTTTGTAATTTAATTTTAGTAAAACAATGGATATTTTTCTCGAGAATTATAACTACGAAAATAGCAAACAATGGCTAATAGATTATGAAAGTTTATTGTTAAAATGTGTTTTTGTTTATATTGTGACAATATTTTCTTTGAAATTTGTTATGGCAAATCGAAAGCCTTTTGATCTTCAGATGCCATTAATTATTTGGTTTTTTTCTTATCTTTCCTTTAAAAACCAATTGAAAATTTTCACAATTTACACGGCTAATTCTCCACAAAATTATTTCAGAACAAAATTTTTATTCTTTTCATTAGATTAATGTCGATTTTTACTAAAAAATTGCAGGAATGGTCTTTTGGCAGTATTTTCTATTGCCGGATTTGTAAGAATTACCCCAACGTTTATCAGTACAATCGTGAACAAAGGAATTACACGTAAAAATAACAAAAATTGTTAAAATCAGGGCTCTCGTTCGTGCTTATTCTCGAAGTACAGTACTTACAAATCGACCTCCGTACTTCCAAAATTATAAATGCACTTATGAGTAGAGACCGGACTGGGAGGTCGTACGAGATATCTTGAAAAATCTCGATCTCGACAATCGATGAGAGCTCTGGTTAAAATATCCTTTCTAGATACATACACTGAGATTGGTGAACTTCAAAAAGATCCAATAGCCGGCTACTGGGCCTTTGCTTGGTGTGTCTCTAAAATCCCAGAACTTATTGACACCCTTTTTGTTGTGTTACGAAAAAGGCCACTTATGTTTATGCATTGGTTAAAATTTAAAAATAAATGAAAAATTATTTTTAAAACATAGGTATCATCACGCGCTGACGGGCTATTTTGCTTTTGTTACCTTTTATGAAGAAAATGCTTATATGGTTTGGGTTGTTTGGCTTAACTACTTTATTCATTCATTTAGTAATTAAAAATTCTTAAAATTTCTCATGTTTTATCAGTGTACTCTTATTATTGTGCTCGTGCAATACGCTTTCGTGTACCACCACAACTTGCTCAACTACTTACTTTTGCACAAATTTGCCAAGTAATTTAAAAGGAATTTTGTTTACAATTTAACTCTTATAAATTGTTCCAAACATTTAAACTCAATTTTAGTTTATGATAACGCATGCTGTCATGGGACATTTGCTTTGGCTTTGTTATTCTAATACAAATAAAGTTTATGCTGTTACTAAACGTGGATTTTCCATTGGGGTAATTTTCAAAATAAAAGTAGTTAAATGTATTTCTAGGCCTTCATGGAAGTCACTTATATTCTACTTTGGTTCCGTTTCTACTATATTAGTTATATAGCAAATGGTGGAAAGAAATACACTCAACACCGGATTGCAACTCAAAACGGGAAAATACAGCAAAAGATTGAATAATCCTTAGATAATTTTAAATAACTTAATCAACATTAAAGCACTAATGTTTTTAAATTGTTTTAAAGGACATGTCAGAACCTCGGAATTTTCATTTTGATAAAATATAGGATTTCCAGTATTAAACGAAAAGTGGCTAAAGATTTATTGACTAATTCCGTATTTTACTATGCTAGCAATAGTTTAATTTATCGGCTGAATTAGTGTCTTTCCATCCGCTAAGATTTTAGTTTTTTGAAATAAAGAATCTGTTTAGAGAAAAAACAGGGAGGGAGGGGAACAATTGGGGGCAAACAGGAATGATTGTAAAAAAGTGGGAAATAGTGAATCTCCCTGTATTTATTACCACAAAAATGTCTTTATTGCACAGAGGGCGTATTTTAAATTTCTTGAATTTTGGTTTAAAACTTTTGATTATTGGACAAAAACGAGACATTAAACCAAATGGGTTAAAAACTTTAAAAATAATTCTAAAAAATTCATAAAAATAACTTAAATTTAATCTTCATCTTCCTCAATAACGATCTTACGTTTTTGTTGTGTTTTCTGCTGCTTTTTCTGCCTTTGTTCCTATAAATTATAAAAATGATTTTCATAATTTTTTTATTTTTCTCACAGTATCAGATGTGTCCATTTCCTCCACACCTTCTTCAGCTTCCTCCTCTTCTTCACTGTCAATTTTTGCCTCATTTATAGTTTTCCTTTGCCTTTCCTCTTGTTCCTCATCTGATTCAGAGAAAGAGCGCTCACGTTGATATCTATCCATTCCATATGGGGCATGTTGATATCTTCTCTTAATTGCAGCTAGCGAATCGACTGCCTCATCTTAAAACAAAAATATTTTTAACTCTCATCTACCCTTCAAAATTTAGAAATTTGCTTGAGCAAAAAAATTTTAAAATAAAATCTAAAAAAATAGCCAAAAAGGAAATTGAAGAAAAAATATTTTTGTAATATTTTTCTTTTCCCCCGTTCCTTGATTTATTCCTAACTTTAAAATTTAATTAATACAAACCAGAATCATAACCCTCAAGGAATCCAGATGTGAGTCCAACAGTCATTGGTCGCTCACGAACTAAAAATAATTTTAAAAAATATTGTAAATTATTAAATAATAAACCTTTTCGTTGCTGTGCTTCACGACGAGCTGCGGCTCGTAACTTTTCTTCCTCCAAGCGAATCATTTCCTTAATTACAGATTTACGAGAATTCTATTATTTTTAAACCTTTCGTTGAGCATTTGGATTATCCCCAACATTTGCAAGCATTCGAACTTTTTGAGCTTTGCTTGTTTTTTCAGCCATGTTCAAAGTCATTTTCCGATGAGTTAAAGTTTCTGTTGAGTGTGGGCGGAATACAAGTTTTTCGCCGAAAACGGCTTGTGCTTGCAGAGCTGCTCCTTGACGAATATAGAGATGATTAAAGTCCATAATTTTTTGTTTATCCACCTCGAAGATTTCGTTACCCAAATATAAGGACATGCTGAAAATATAATTATTTGAGAACAAGATTAGAAAATTTTAATAGAAACATGAGCTCCTTTTTGTTGATAACGATAAAGAGAGGAATAGCCAGGGATTGATTTCAGGGGGAGGGATAAAATGGAGACCCGCGGAAGCCAAAAATGCGGAAGCGGAAGGGTAAAAAACGGAACTTTGTAGAAGAAAATCCATAAAGTATGAGCTTTATGAATTCTATGTTCACACCTTCCATCAGACCAACGAACAATTTTTGCATTGCTCTCGCGCTTCTCATTGCCTTGCTCATCTCGGACCGTTCTCCAACGGATTGTATTTTCCAGCTAAAAATAAGTTAATGGTAGATTTTTAGTAAAAATATGACAAAAGAAGAAATTTATAATACTATTCTAAAATGATAAATCTAGTCTCTTTACTTTTAAATGTACAATCTGGCAAGGAACTTTCACGAACTGTTCGTGAGAGTTAATGACTAAATTGTAATTGGACAACGAAGATTTCGGTGCCAAATAAATTACATTAGCGGACAGATCAATGTCTAAAAAATTATACATACCTTAAGTTTCAAACGAGTTCGCCCATCATCATCAAGTGTTTCGTCTTCTTCAATTTCGTCATCATAAGTTTCAGGATCAAATGGCTTTGTTTCAATACTTAAGAAATTCGGCAGTTTAACAAAATAAGGCCCTTCCTCGCCTAAATCAACTTTACAACGGGCCATGTTCAAATCAATTTTTGTTGGGCCAGTATCAACCTCTTCTTCTTGTTCTTCATCTAAAACATATTTATTGAAAAAACAATTTTACAAATATAAAAAGACCGTCAGAAACATCCATCCGTGCGATTACTTGATGAGTTTCATCTTCATCCTGATGTGAATGGACATCTTCTTGAGTTTCTTCTTCCTCTCGATGTTCAACTTCATCATCTTCCATTTCTTCATCATTATGTTCAGCCGTAGCATGCACACCACTAACTTCGTCATCATCTTTAGTCGTAAATATTCCATCCTCATCGTCCTCTTCTTCAGCATTTCTATTGTCAGGGATGCTATCTTCAGCATCAATCTGTTAAAATAAAAATGGATATAGTTTAGCTGACCCATTCAGAAATGGGTCGAATTATATAGCATTCAATTCGTCTCGGTGAGCTGAGTCGAACGGTACAACTCCCTTGGTGCAGAAATGCCTGTGGATCGAGATATAGGTATTTAAAAATCGAAAAAGCACAGGGCAAACTTTTAAGCAAATTTTTGGAGTAGAAAATTCGATTATACAAATCTTATAGTTAACTTATCCGAAAAAGCTCGTAGCGATGAGTCGGATGAATAAAAAATAAATTAAATAAACAAGGTTACAAATAATTTTTTAAACTAACCTGATGTTCATGATTAATTTCGCTAGTCTCATCATCTTCTCCATCTTCTTGATATTGTTGTTGGTCAGATTGTGGATGAGTTGAGTTCTCATCTAAATTTTGCTCGTCATGTTCTTCATCTGATGAGGATGTTGAAGACATTGATGAAGAATCATCTGAATGTTGTTGTTGGTTGGACTGAGACACAGCCGGTACCTCCTCATGAGCATCTTCATCACTTACGATACTGCTGTCAGACATTTTAAACAATAACTTAAATTAAAACATAATTTTTTAAAAAGACTAAATGTAACGGATTTATAAAAAATGCCTAAATATTCTGCGCCTAAGTGGCTCGCGATTAAATGAATGCTGCGACAATTGCGAATGCGACAATTGCGGACTACAAATTGCTCGTTTTATTGTTCTTTTTATTGTTCATTGTTGTTCATTGTTCTTTTTACGTATTTCTTTTTTATTTTTTTGTTTCTAATTTTTAGATTGACACGTGTAAGACTTGTTAGGCGTGTGTGTTAGACTTCTAAAAATTTTACATTATACATGTCCTATCAAGGATCAAGCCTTAATTATTTTGTGATATTTCTTTTGGTACTAAATGGTAAATTAAAATTTTTATATTATATTTGGTTTTAAATTAAGCTTGTAATTTTATTCTTCCAATTGACTGGAATAGCGACATTGTTCCAAATCAGGCAGAATTAAACGCTCAAAATAATGATGCTTTAAGCAAATACTTTGGGACTGACATCAATAATTTGGAAATTTTTAGAAGTTATGAAATTATGCAGAAGCTTGTTGGCGAGTTTAAAGATGTGCCGTTAGAAAAGTGAGTGAAATTTTAAACAATTTTTGTATCTGTGATTAAGTCTATCACAACAACATTCTTTAAATATTTTTCGTTGATCTTCCCGTTTTTATTCAAATTGAAATTTATTAGTCTTCAAATTATCGAACTTTTTTTTATGATTTTTTTATTTTTCCAGGCAGAAAAACCACAATTACAAAGAAATGACTTCTTGGTTAAAAGATTTGGCTGATCGTTTCCCCCAAATTACTTATTTATATTCAATTGGCCAAAGCATAGATAAGCGTCAACTTTGGGTACTTGTTGTTGCAAGAAATCCGAGGGAGCATGAGATATTAAGGCCTGAATTTAAATATGTTGCAAATATGCATGGAAATGAGGTTTTAATTTTTTCAAGGCATTTTGATTAAATCGACCGTAAATGATCTTGCTTTTTTAAATAATTCATTTTGATAGGTTACTGGTCGAGAGGCACTTCTTTATTTGGCTTACATACTTTGTGAAAATTATGGCAGTAATCAATATTTAACGCGTATGGTCAATGAAACGCGCATCCATCTAATGGTTGATTTTATTATTTTAAATTAAATTTATTTTTTAGCCTTCAATGAATCCTGATGGTTATGAAATGGATAAACCTGGTGATCGAATTGGTTATTTGGTTTGTTAAATAATTTTATATTTGGTTACCCTTTTTTCTAAGGGCCGGTCCAATGCAGATAATGTTGACCTAAATCGAAATTTTCCTGCTCGTTATCCGATGCACAAAGAGGCGTCCGGTGGCATGACAACTCAACCAGAGACAAAAGCTGTTATGCAATGGATGACCGAATATCCATTTGTTCTTTCTGCGAATCTTCATGGCGGCTCTCTCGTCGCTAATTACCCTTATGATGATTCGGATACAGGCGCAGATGGCATATATACGGCTTCAGCAGATGATAAACTTTTTGTACAATTAGCTTTTCAATATGCGCGTGCTCATACAAATATGTGGTTATCTGGACGTCGTTGTGGACTAAATGATAATGGTGATACTTTCCTTCATGGAATTACCAATGGCGCTGGTTGGTAGGTTCACTATCTTTTATTCAAATTTTGTTTAATAAACATTGTTCAGTCCTTATAATTTTTTGCTTAGGTACCATCTTTCTGGTGGGATGCAGGACTGGCAGTATGTGCACACAAATGCTCTTGAAATTACTGTCGAAATGGGTTGTTTCAAATTTCCATACGTTCGTTTTAATTTAATTGATCAAAATTCTATTTTGATTTTTAATTTAAGGACGATATGATTCCAACTTTGTGGAAGCAACATCGGTTCTCTTTGCTCTCATTTATGGAATCTGTTCATAGTGGTGTAAAAGGTGTTGTTCATGATGCCACTGGTGAAAAGCCAATCTCGGGAGCCGAGCTAATAATTATAAAAGGAGGAAAAGGAAAAGCTGTGACAACATCACTTAATGGTGAATATTGGCGACTTTTACCACCTGGCGAATATAGCGTGATTATTTTCTTCAAAATATTTTTTTATGTTTAAATTTTTAGCTACAAATTTCACATAAAAATTTCAAACCATATCAATTCGATATAACTATTGATTCTGGACCGGCAAAGGTTGTTAATATTAGTTTGAAAGGGATGGAATGTGATGGTGAAGGTTTATGCTTTAATCTTATAAAATAATTTTTAATTATTAATTTTAGATATTCCAAAATTACAACTTTTTGTTAGAGGTAAAGGTCCTCTTAATTTATTACTTGTTGGTTTTGACTCTGCTGCAAAAGGATTACTTACGCGTTTGGTCAATCATTCTTGTCCTATGGATGAAAAGAAACGATCAAAATTGGTTTTTCTTTTTATTTATTTTTGATTTAGCTGTATTTATTAAAGGCTTACATGCTTCTTGAAAATGTTCGTCTCCATATTGTTACAGAATATAGCCAAACTGATCAACTTTTGCAATATATGCGGAATATAAATGCTGATTCCCTTCTTATTTTTAGTGCCGGCCCTGCTCATTCGACAATATTTAATGCCGGAGAGAATACACCAAGACTGTTTAATCAAGATAAATTCGATCAAAGCTTGAAAGAGTAAGAGTTCATCATAACAAAAATCCTTTTCAAATTTTTAGAGTATTTTCTTCACAAGAACAGTTCTCTAATATGGATTCAAAAACAACAGATTCATTTAGCCCAATAAATTCACGAAAAAAGGTTCTTCGACCGAATTGTGAAGATCGTTTAGGTCAAACCAAAACGGCGTCAATTATTGATGAAATGAGACTCGGACGAATTTTTGAATTGGGTATTGGAATTGGATGTGATTTTGGGAACTTTTCCTCAAAAGAAGATATTATGACTACTGGAAAAATGGATGCAGCATTGGATGCTATTATAGAGGTTTTGATTTATTTTCCGATTTTTCTTTTATTTAAATTTTAGATGATGCTGAATATTTTGAAACAAGACAAAGTACTTGAATTTTCTGTTGTTCCTTCCATTGCTCCAACCGATCATTTCACTCCTGCTGAAGTTCAGACGGTACAATTTAATATTGCATTAAATTCTTTTTCGCTTAAAGGTAACACATTATGGCTACGATCGTCTTGATCAATCATCATCTTGCTCCGCCAAACTAATCGAAATGGATGGTGTGAAGCTTCGATCTTTGGGTTCACACAATGGGCCACATACACTGATTTTATCTGTAGAAATGGTTTGTTTAATTTATTAAATGAATGTTTCGTAAAAGTAATTATTTACATAACTTAAAATTCATTTTAGAAGACAGAAGCGTTAGTTTATCATCTTGGGGCCAGACTTTGTGGACAAGGACCTGTTGAAGGATTAACAACTACACCTACTATTATAGACGAGGAGATGAGACAAGTACAGCGTATTTTGGAGTATTCAACCATTATTTTGGCACCAGATATCCCACAGTATTCTAAATTATTTTTCGCTTAACCTTCTCATATATTTTCCTTATATGTAGCACACAATTGAATTGCCACGACTACTTGACCATTTCTCCGTTTATTTCATTGATTACGCAAATTATCAACCTGGTACCTGAAATTGATTTTGTTATCGTGTTAGGAACGGGTGGAATTAAAGTAAGACAATTTTTAAGTTTATTTACTTTTCTCCTTTTAGATCCGATTTATTGACGTGCGCAGGCCAGGAACTGACATTGGAATGACAAATAATGGCACGCTTATTATGTCACAGCCTCCTTCAGCTGAACTTGACGAGAACGACCAAATTAAATTGCCTGATCTACCAAAAGGGAATTGGACATCTACGCCGCAGGCACTTGCTCAGCTCTACATTGAAGGACACGAACAGATGCGGCAGGTGTTTATTTATGCCTAAGTATTGAAAATTTTTAAAGATTTTCCATAGAAGCTTTTTTATTACTTCAATTTTATTTAAGCATTTTTTATATATTTTAACATTTTCTGTTTTTTCTTCAAGTTTATTTATAGAATAAAAGGGATATGTGTGCAACTAATCGCCCATCCACTCCAGTGCTCGACGAATTCCATTGGTCAACAGGGCGGGACAAATGGACATCTGCACCAGATGCTTTGCTTGTTCAAGTTGGTTGTTGCTACGAAGGCCAAGGAATAGTTAAGTTTTTTTTAATGTTTTCACTTTTATTATTATTTTAGAGCCATCTTTTTGAAGAGAATCGTCGTTCTCTCTTTTCAATATTAGGACGACGTTTGCAAGGTGTTTCAGGTGTTATTAGGGTAAGTATTTGTTAATCACTTTCATTTAAATTTATCGTTATTATATTCAGGAGATGAGTGGCGATCGCCTTTCTGGTGTGAATGTCTCTGTCTGGCCGATTCAAAAGGACCACAACGTAATTTTGGAAACTACAAAGACTACAAAAACAACAAAGAATGGACATTATAATTTGGCTTTGGAGCCAGGAACGTATCGAGCAATGATTATAGCTGATGGTTATGATCCAATGAGTAGTACTTTTACAGTGAGTTTATTTTTAAATTAACAAATTTTGTTTGTAATTCTCATATAAAACTTTCCGTAAAAATCATTTCATTTTTTATTTTTAGGTTTCATTTGGACAAGCGACGGTTAAACATTATGCTTTGCACCGACCATTTACAATGAGTTTTGAACGCAGTATAGTTGCCGCATTGATTGCATTAACAATGCTTTCAATATCATTTGTATGTTTATTTTTTAGATAAATTATTACAAAAATTAAATTTTAGTGTTGTTTATGTCGATCCATGAGACGTTCGAAAACAAAAAAATCTTTGGCAGCTACGCAGGTTAAAGTGAATGAAAGGAGAAAGGATGGATTTGAACGTGTGCCTCTTCGGGTATTTATTTTGTAAATTTATTTTGTTATAATATATTAATTAGCAGGATTACCATTCCGAAAATGACTCTGACGATTCTGATGAGGAGGAAGTTCTAGATACACGAAGAATGGCTATGCCTGTTTGACATTGTAATTTTTAGTTTTCTTGGAATGACATGGATTTTTTGTTTAATTTTTGAGAATACTAAATTTTCTAATCTCTTCATTCCGAGATTATGTACATTATTGACTTTTATGTGCTCTCTAATCACTATTATTCCTTCTATTTTTAATTTGGTGGGCGGTTTATGAATTATTAAATATTTCGATACTACCTTTATGCTACGCTTCCTATTTAATGAAGCATGATTAAAATTATGCAAAGAATAATTTATCCAAAACGTCTCGACATGATGTGCCGATTGAAGTTCGTTTTAGAAAAATCTAATGAGTTTGCACCCAGTTAGGACCGGTCAAAATGATTAGACTTAAGAACCTAATGATGCACGTACAAGAATGATTGTGATGTTTATTTTGACACATTATTTGACTAAAATATGGTAAAATATATCCAACAGAATTAATCATCTTAATTCGGTCAGCTACAGAATTTGTTTTGTTACCACCCAATGTCGAAAATAATAGGGGGTGTGGCATAAAGAATAAGTTAACGTTTTTCTAAAATTCAAAAAAGCTTGAAGATTTTTTGTTACTTTTTATTATTTTTTGGCTCCGGTGCTGCAATATCAAATTCACTATTTTTTAATTCTCTATATCTATACAAAATAATATTGTTATTCTTTAAATTACTCCATATTTTTATATAGAATATAATCCTCATTAAATTAATTTTTATTAATTTTCTTGGCTCTAACGATTTTTTAAAGTTATTTCGGGTGATTATTTTATTTCAGTTTTTCATTAAATTTTTTCACAATTTTTAAACAAATTTTTGTCATCTTTGATTTGGATATAATTTTTCCAAACAATTTAACTTTGAGATAGATACATTTCAAAGATGATAATGTTATGCTACATATCTCATACTACGAAATTTTAGTCGTTTTGTTTTAAAGAGAATGGGGGAAGGGACATACTTTTATCCATATTTGATTTTTATTATATGCATACTTTTTTAAATTGACATTTTGATATAACAAGATAAAGATTAGAGAAAATATAATTCTGAATAGTTAGTTTTGTTCACTAATAAAAATAATCAAATTTACTTGGTCGTTTACATTAACGGAAGCCCTACTTTTAGGTAGAATTTGCTTGCCTTTTAGGCTTTTTTATTTAATTTTGTTAATAATAATTAAATACAATATTCAAATTGGCGCGCCGAAATTTGCGGATTTTAATTTGCGGACCCGAAATTTGCGGACCCGAACTTTGCGGACACGAATTTTGCGGACCCGAACTATGCGGACTCGAATTTTGCGGATTTGAGATTTGCGGACCAAAAATTTGCGGACCGACAATAGAGTCTACTGAACCTCGGAAATTTCAAAAATTTTAGCCTGCGGCGTTAATTAGGATAAATTCAGGCATCATGACCTTATGAATGGCCATATAAATGATTTTTTATGGGATTTTCTTGGTTATCTAAATTATGAAATAATTTTTAGATAAAAAATTAATAAAAATTTTGAAAAATCAAGAAAAAATCTTGAATCCGGTACGAATCATGGTAGACTCTGCCGGAATCCTCGAAAAATAAAATTTTTAATTTTTCCTTTTTACTCAAGTGTCGGTCTTAAAATCTTGATTCCGCAAAGATCAGGTCCGCAAAATTCGTGTCCGCAACCTTCGGGTCCGCAACTTTCGTTCCGCAAATTTCGGGTCCGCAAAGTTCGGGTCCGCAAAATTCGGGTCCGCAAAGTTCGCGCCACGTTCAAATTTGAGTAAAATATTGCAAAACTCATTCTCCAAAATTAATTTGTTTTTGTTAAGAATTTGTCTATTTTAGCTTATGGCCTTGTTTTTCTTTTAATGCTTTATTTTTCATAAAGATATAAGGGTAAAATTGGCCCACAATGTTGTTAGTTTTGCCGTTTCTTAAATATAAATGAAATTGAACCTTTAAAGCTGTCGAGTGTTTGGCGCGCAGCTGACCACTATCCTACAAATAAAGAAAATAATTTGGCAAAAATATTTTTGTTTACATTCTTTGACTTTGCCCAAAGATTTTTGGTCAATGTATTATTTTGAATTTTCGATTTTTTAATTTACAAACATATTTACATTCTTTTACAATTTCTTAAAATCCTAGCTTGAATATTTTTTATATTAATTTTCAATCAGACTCATTTAAATCAGATAATTATACTTCTTATTTTTTAATCCTCTTTAAATCCAAAGAGAGTGTCAAATTGATGAATTAAAAGAATTTAAGTACTTCAGAAAAAATATTTCTTTTTTTAAACAAATCCTTTTAAAAATTTATTTGTAATACTCCTCTCATTTATTTCATTTTTAGAGGCCTAATCTTTTGTCTTTATTTTTCCATTCTTTGTCCACTTGTTAACCTCTTTTAAAATTTTTTCTATAAATTTTATAGTAATATTCATTTATCGGCAATCCCGGAGAATTGGGGTCCCTGCGGAAAAAAATCTTAAAAATAAGAAAAAGGGTTTTTCTAGGGTAAAAAAATATGCTGATTACGAATCCGAGCTCAGTTTTTGAAAAAGTCGAATCCCGAACCCGAACCAAATTTCGAACCCTGAACTCGAATTTCGAATATGCAAATGATAGCTCATTCGAAAGAGCTCGTCGAGCTGCATCGAATGACACCAAAACCAATGCGATCTGACCTGTTTCGACAAAGTTATGACATAAAGTAAACCTCTGGGAGTACTGTAAGAGTCGGCGACTTATGTCATAACTTTGTCTAAACTTGATCAATCACTGTAATTTTGGTGTCATTCGACTCGGCACGACGAGCTCTTTCGAGTGAGCTATCATTTGTATAAACTTTTTTTTACTCCAAAAAATTACCCCTGTGGTTTTTCAATATTTAGGGGTCTGTATCTCGGTTCAATCCGGTCGGATTTCATTGATTTTGGTGTCATTTGACTTAGATCGATGAGTTCTAGATTCTTTTGAAAGACTGGCCATTTTGTACAATGTCCGACAATGTTTGGGGTCAAAAATCCTGTTCGGGTGCAAAGGTCCGAATTCGGGTTCGGGATTCGACTTTTTCAAAATCTGAGCTCGGATTCGTAATCAGCATATTTTTTTACCCAAGAAAAATCCTTTTTCTTATTTTTAAGATTTTTTTCCGCAGGGACCCCAATTCTCCGGGATTGCCCATTTGGCAATCAAATCCTCTTATTTTTTCTATTATTTGACAATGGATTTTAAAAAAGCTTTTTCACACTTGTTTTTAAATTTTAAATGCTCTTTGGCTTTTGCTTCATTTGATTTATTACCCCATTTTTTCGGACTTTAAACTTTATATTAATTTAAAATTTGAGTAAATCTTAAAAATAAATGGACATACTTGCATTTTTTAATTTTAAATACTGTATATATCGAATAATTACCCCGGGTAATTATTATTTCAATCTCTGGCTGGAGGAGGTAATTATTTAAGAGAAGGTAATTATTCGAGCATATACGGCACTCTTTTAGTCCTTGTTGATACTTTAACTGATAATGAGAATTATAAGCTACTATTTCCGTAATTACTTTATTCTTTCTCTCTCTTAATTCCTTAATTTAATAAACTGTTGAATGATCACATTTATTTTTTTAGTTTTTTATTTAATAAATAATGTAAAATACTTCCTTTTAATCTTTATTTTTCCTTCACTCCTTCCTTTAAAATTTAAAGACATCTTCCTTTAGAAAGAAGATGGCACTGAATTCTTAATTTCCTTTTTTTATTTCCTCCCTTTGTTTAGCCTTCTTCAGCTATTGTTTTTGGAAACTTTAAAACTTTATTTGACCGGTCAAACAATTGTTTTTATCTTTTTGCACGCAATTTTCTATGCATTTTACATGCCTGAATTAAATTTAGTATTTGGATTTTTTCGGTCAAGAAGTTTTATTTTTTTGTAAGTAAATGTTTTAATTTTTAGTTTTTTTCTTTACAATAAAATAACCCTTTCCCTCCCCCTTCCCCCTCTTTCCCCCCCTCCTTTTTTGGCATTTCCATTCTTCTACATAGTACATAACAATTTACATACAAAAATACATTTTTTCTTCTAAAATTGTAACGCCATCAAAAGGAATATATTGATCGTTAGTAGAAGGGAAGAAGCCGCGCAGAAAAGTTGAGTGAGGTAGGTGAATGAAGGATGGAGGAAAGGTACTGGCATATATTTTTGTGAAGAAGAAGAAAGATGTTTTACCATTCCTCAACAACATTTAATCATTTATTCCCGCAACCTTATAAACAAAGTTTTGTTGTATATACATATATGTTCCTTGATTTTTTCACGCAAAAATTGTGGAAAATTTCAAAAAGATTAATGAATAAACAAACGGAACTTTGATTATCTCTAAAAATATTTCTATAGGTTTTTGAGTTTGTTTTATTTTTATTATACCTAATCTAGATACATACATATATCCAAAAATAATTTTCTCGGCAACACTAGAATTTAATGAAAAAAGTATAGTTTTCCATGCTTCTGAATCTTAAAGTTTGATGGGATTTTTCTAAATATTTTTTGATTATTCCATATAAATTATTAAATTCTTACTCAAAATCGACAATAAATACAAATAAATCTCAACATGTCTTTTAATCCACTTTATTTAATTTTTATTTTTAAATTATTAAATTATTATCTCAGCATGTTCATGTCTTCCCCCCCATCATTGACCACAACAACTTGCCCTAGTTTTAGGCGGCCCACCTATTTTCCTCTAATATTTCTTTCCTTTCATGCGTTAAATAACAAAATACTTACTAACTCTACACACAACCATCACCTTTTGACCACTAATAAATTTTTACTCAACAAAATTCGACAAAGTTTTCATATTAATTTTTATGTATTTAGTTATTTCCGTTCTAAATGATTTGTGTACATAAAATGATCTTATAAAAATTTTTCTAAAATTTTATTTTTTATATTTTAGTAGTAAATTAGTAAAAAATAATTATTTTTCGTAAAAAACCCCAAAAAATATTTTTATTTATTTTTAATGTCTAGGACAGACTGTTGATGATGACTGGGCATTATTATACTATTTTTTAGGGACATTTATTTTTATTTTTTTTGACTGACCGAACAACCAAAACCCCCCGATTAATATCAAACTTTACTTTATAGATTTGTTTTTCTATTTTTATTTCTCACCCATTTCT